CTTACTTGAAAATTTCATATTGAAAAATATTCTTCGAAAATTCCAAATTTTCAACACTCGATTAATCAGAGTTTTTAAGCTTTGACCGCCTGGATTGCTTGAATTGTTAATCGAGATTTGCAGATTTGAACCGTGTCAAATGGTCTTCATTGTCAGTGTGTTTTCCGAGTTGAAAATTTCATCTCGAAATATATTCGAATATTCCAAATTTTCAACGCTCAATTAATCAGAGTATTTGAACTTCCATCGCCTGGATTACTTAAATTAAGCTAATCCAGATTTCCAAATTTAAAGCGTGTCAAATGGTTCTCATTATCAGTGTTTTCTAAGTGAAAAATTTCATCTGGAAATATATTCGAAAATTCGCAATTTTCAACGCTCAACTAATCAGAGAATTAGGTTAATCGAGACCTCGAAATTCTCACTATCACTGTTCTCCGAATCCTAAAACAAAAGCCTCGAGTAACAACTCACCAAATCCCAGGACCAATGAATTTTCCAACGATTACAAATCCGACGTTTCATAATAGCCGACCTAATACTTAAAACAACACATTAATCTCAAGCATTCCACCACTTGGTAAATGAACTTGGCAATGAACACGTTAGCCGAGCAACGCGTCTACGCAACTGAAAATGTGGACGTGTAATACAGCGAATTCCAACCTGCAGGCATACTCGTCGATTAATGCCCGAGAGGTATTACACGAGAGATTCCGCGGACCGGTAAATATTTTCAGAGGCGTTAGCGTAGCGCCCGACTAATCGCTAGTACTTAACAAGAGGGAACGTTGCAACCCTGATGCCACCAGGTCGTTGTAACCATCGCGTCATTAAACCGCAACGCCCTTAATAACGAAGAGATACAACGCAGGTTGCAACCACGTAACCAGATGGTAAGAACTCGGAATCGTATGCATCACTGTCATGCAAATTGCTTTCGTCTCCCCCCTCTCTCTCTCTCTTTTGCTACATATTATCGGCGTTCCTGCGCCGTTTGATCGTTCCTATAGAACTCTAGCCAATACCTCTGGGAAACGCTCAAGCCACAAATACGATTTTCTCCACTGAAGATACGTTTTCGTATATCAAATCATGTATTAACTCTAGAACTCCTAATGGCGGGTTGATCGAATCCTCGAGTTGACAAATGTTAAATTAGAATCATTTTCCCTCTGTAAATAATTCTCGAAATTTAAATTAGAGTAATTTCCCCTCTGTAAACAATTCTCGAAATTTATAGAATCATTTCCCCTCTGTAAACAATTCTGAAAAAATTATTGTCGCATACGCATTTAAGTTTGATATTCGGAAGTAAACTTTGAAAAGGAAATGAATATGAACTGACGAGCACGCGAAAAGGACCATTACGCTCTTCTTATCTCTGAAGGATAACAATCACAGAACGCAAAATCAAAGTAACAGGAAAGGAACGATGCAGCATTCAATCGGTTGCGATTAATATATAGAAAGAAAGCCCTTAATTAGGCTTTCGCGTGACAATTCCAGACTCACGAGTTCTACGGTTAAATTTTGTCCTTTTCTAAAACATTGTACGTAACAACCATGCACGTTAATTTCGTCCAAACATTCACTACGAAGCGTCGCGTCTCTCGCGATAAGATCGAGCGAGGTTGTCAAAGAAGCTGACAAGACGCGATAGAGAATGAAAAATTGCAACCGGTGGCGAGAGATGTACACGTAGCGGTGCAATTAAAGCGTATGACGTCAGAAAAGATGATAGAACAAAGCAGCATGCTTAGAGGGAAAGCAAAGCGTTGTTGGTACTCGGAAGCCATGAATGCTCACCTGGTCCCCGTCGTGTCCTTGCCAGCTGTCGTGACTCTGCAACAAAAAAACGAACAATATGAGTGCGAATTGCGAATGTGTGTCGCGCGGGAAGGTGTGACGAAAGAAACAAAGAATAGCGTATATCGAAAAGCTCCGTTCGGGTAAACTTGCTTTCAACATTTTTCCCCCTATTTCATCCGAGGGAGGAAAAAATCTTGGAGAGGATTGCAGAGTATCGGTTGTAATACTTCACTTGACCAACATGCACGTCCCTGCCAAAAAATTTCGCCCGGTGTATTCATGCCAAATGTTCTGAAACGTATTTTATTTGCGGTAGGACAAAGAGCTGGCGCGGAATCCACCTGTGAACCGACCGCATCGTCATCCAATTTTCCACTCTACTATCTCCAGCGTCGAGATTTATACACTGAAATCTGCTCTATGATCATTTCCGTTATTGTGTCTAGGGAAAAAGCGAAAAAAAAAATACCGGAGAAAAATAGACCGCGGTGCACCGTGGACGAGTAAATTTCGGTGAAAAGTTGTCACCGCCTTGCTGTTCCTTGGAAATTTTAATTGACACTCGAGGAGAGAGGTAACGAGATCGAAATAAATAGATATTTCGAATGTTTTATATAGTATCGAAAGTATCGATTCACTTCATAATGGATATCTTTTCTTTCAAATATCTTTTTGAAGAAAATTAATTATTGTCAACGAATTAATTTCACTACTGAGAACAGATTTAACGAAATATCCGAATTCACAAATATTTTTCTGAAAAAGAAAAAAGAAATATCGTCGATGTGATTAATTTCCCAGCAGAGACCAGATTCAGCGCCCAGTTATCAGAATTATCCCTGTGATAACGGGCGATCTTCCTTTTTTTTCCCTCAAACAAACGTGTGCGATTTCACCCGGAAGCTCGTAATTCTGTCACGGTTCATTAATTCCGTGTAAATAATATGGCGAAACTGTATAGACAGGTATTTTATCGGACGCGGAGGTCGACCAATGTCGGAAGCATAGGCGGCGTTCGCTGGGTTAATGTTCAAACCGCCTTGTTAGATTTATGGCGGCAATATAGGCGTCATGGAGCACGTTGAGCGTTCGCACTACGTTACGACATCTATGTATACACATTCGACGTACGTGTGTCGAGAAATTTTCAAAGCTTTTCACCGATATACCGCACCCCAGCACACGAAATTCGGAAGTCGCCGCGTCTCGAGATATTAGGACGATAATTTACCGTCGTTGAATACAAAGCGCATTTCTGTTATAAATTCCGGTCGAAGAAAAGGTCGCAAGAGTCGCGGAGGAATAGGAAGAGTTCGAAGAATACTAAAAAAAAAAGTTCAACTTATTCCTGAAAGTTACGAGGATTTCAGAGATTGTTTCTAGAACTTTCCAAACTGGAGCATTTCTCTTTCTCTCTCCCTTTTTTCCTTCTTCTTCCCCCGCCTTTATCGCGAAGCAGCGAATGAAATATATTCCACGTGTAAAATGGTCGAGTTAACTTTATCGTTGTATAGCTGATAAAATTCTCCTTTTCTTATCCCATTAATTTGCATTAAAGGGGAAGAACAGCAGAGGCTCGGTAAAGCGTGTAAGCCGGCGATAACGTATCGCGTCCTAACGTGCAGGGTGTAGTGAACACGATACAGATACGACGAGGAAATTATTCCCATGATGAGGGTTGATACCTCTCGACCAGTTAGTATCAAAATCCCATTACGAGACGGAAGCCTTGCTTCGAGCGAATTCGATGGCTAGGTCGGATAATACCGATATCAATTTCGCTGAAGAAAAACAGACGTCGCGTAGATACTTTTATACGTCGAATTCGGTCGTGCCGAGAAGTACGATCGTTAACAGATCTCTCTCACTGTTCCATGTAATATCAACCATTTATACTCTACATTTTGTACACTTTATATCGCGTTACTTCGTCGCGACAAACATCTGGAGATGGAAGAAAGCGGAAGAAAAGGACGGTACTAATGGTCGCGTAAGTTGACAACAGAGGGGAATTTAATCGTTTAATGAAGGCAAACACTGCGTAAAACTTGGGGTAGAAGGTTGAAGTGGCGGATAGACGACGAGAACGTTGACTGTGAGAATGAAACGGAGAAACGAGGATATTGTTGTTTGCAGGAGTTGCTAGGCGAGAGGCGATGTTTAACGAAACATCGGTTTCCCATTTTATCGCCGGCTCGTCTGTGTTTTCATAAGCGTTCCTTTACCGATCCGTAAAAGCGACGTTTCCACTTTTCCCCGTTTTTCGCGATATTACGTTCTCGCGTAAACAACGGAAACAGCCGATTAAAGTGGCAATCGGAGTCATCGTATTGCAGTATTTTTGTTGCTGCTTTAAATTAAAAAAAAAAATAACGCATTGTGGGACGGACGAAGCGACGATACAAGATAAATTGCAAGCCGAAATTTAATTAACAAAATTTCTGTAGCGACAACAAGCGGACGCGGGGGAAAGAACGGTTCGGCGTATATTAATTAGATTCCGCTGGATATGTTTTTAATCATTGTACTTTCAGCAGATGGGTTTACAAAGGCAATCCTTTCCGGCTAAACTTAATTGCAAAGTTTCTAGCCGGGCAAATTGGTACATTCGTAACTTTCGACAGCCACGGGGATGATACCTAAACTAACAACGCCCCGAACTTTTCTCGTTTGCGATCAACTTTATCCCCGCGGAGTGGCTTACTTTAATTGCAAAGATCTTATTTACATTGCGCTCCATCTTTGTCGCCGGTGGTCTTCGAGAGCTGACTTCGACACGCGCCTAATTTCATCGGTTTCCGCTTCAATTTGTTCCAATTAAATTCCATCGATACGAATCGCGAGTCTCTCGTTAATGTAGAAGACTACGTATATGGGATACTCGTTCGATTTTTTCACGTTTATTTAATTTTGCGGTGATTGAAATCCAGTTTATTATTTAGTAGTAAATTTTGAAATTTGCTGCTCTCATATTACTACCATACTCGCCATTTTACTTTCTGTCATTAAACCACGATGGAAAACTCAATATATTTCAGATCTTCGTCAATATTTCCAAACTACGATTATTACAGAATAATTCACCTTCCTCGTTTTTCTGAAAATCGCAAAATAAACCAAAATAAACTCATACTTCTACCCCATCTCATATTACTCTGACGAATCTTCGATCACAAACTCTCCGATACACTCTTGGAGCATAAAGAAAAATGGAAAAGACTGACGTGGATTTCATTTTTCACCATCGAAAGAACGACTTCCCGCTCTCCTTTATGGAACATATAATGGTTTCGAGTGAAGGAGCAGCAGATTCCTGCCGTACCGTCATCGTTCGAGGACATAAAAATACCACTTACCTCCTAACGACTTCCCTTTTTACATTTTATTCGCGCCCTTCTCTACCCTCGATCTTTCAACCTTGCAACTTACGAACTTGCACGTCTCAGATAACTAAACACCAAACGTCCTTCCGATCGATTTTTAATCAATCCATCGACTGTGTCCAACAATTTCACCGATACGCCGAGTAAAAGTGAACCAGGCGGGAAAACGAATAATAATCTCGCGCCGGTGAGATAAGAAAGGACGTTGCTCGATGACGAGTGCCAATGCAAAAGCCATAAAGAATTTCTAATGGAGAAATTACATTACGGCGGCGGGAGTCGTTTCCCTCGGCGAAAAATCTTGGAGATTTATCGGTAATAAAAGGAGCGACGACTATGCCCGGAGGACAGAATACGCCGCGCCGTGGGAAAGGGATGAAATTCACTAAGGGATGAGAACGGATATGCGTTTCTCCCCCCCCCCAAGATAGCTAAACTTACGAGGCACTCCGCCTAAGTTCTAAGACCACAATTTAACGGCTAAGGGAATTAGATCGACGACGTACGAGCCACCAAGGAACGGAGAGACACTAAATCGACCGACGTGGAACCATGTTTCTATTACTATTCAACACGACCGGAGGAAAAGCCGTGTCGCAGGCGCGATCTGGGGAAAAATCTCGATCACCGCGGAGAAAGACATTGTCGTTTGGCATTTTTGCGTTCATCTCAGCGAAAGTTCGATGTTCCACCAGAGATAAAAACTTTTTCTTAGGATCATCGGTGTACTCGATACGCGAGAACTTTCTTCGAGGGAGAGATGGAAGAATTTCACCATCGAATTTCGCTACAGCGGGCGCCTGGGTATCGAAACTTTACCTCCTAGAGTATTCCTATAACGAGGTTTACCTGCTATAGGCGTTTAACCTCGTTCGCTTCCATTTAGCTCGAAACAATTTTCCTTTATTTATGGATACGGAGAAGTGACGAAACGTTGTAGGTACTGGAGTATGTTTATCGATGGTGTAATCAATTGTGTGATCTGTAAGCGATGTTTAACGTGGAACCTCGATCGGTTCTATTTAGCTCGAAACAATTTTCACCTGTTAACTGTGTTTACTTTTCAAAAAGAGATTCGATCTCTGTAGTTTGTAATTGAATATGAGAAAGAATTGTAACCAATTACTTCCTTTCCGTTCTTGCAAACGTGAGTGTGACGCATTTATGTTCAGTACAGGCATAACGGTAGAATTAAAAATTAATAATCCCTGGATAAATAAATTATTGTACGCTAGGCTAAGTACAAGTTAGTTAGCTTAGTATACAGTTAAGCTAATGACGCTAACGCTGAAGCTACGACGAGTTAACTCGTCTTCCACAGTTAACAGATTAAACAATTTTGCTTTATCTATAGATACAGAAAAGTGACGAAAGATTGCGAATGTTAATGTATTTTTATCGATGATTTGATAGGTTACCGTAATGTATGGAATATTTAACCTGAACTAGATAACCTATGCGATGACATAATAATTTGGAAGACCTTTCAGCTCCCGTGGCACAAGGAGCTTATGCCAGCGCATAAATTTCGCCGCAGCATTAAATACCATGCAAGCCCGAATCTCGGGGACGAAGTTGCCGAGTTGATCCGAGCCCATTTCATCCGTTGGATGTATCCTACACTGCTCGTAACAAATAAGGAGTTGGTGT